TAGGGCATTCACTAGTTTAAAATGCATGCATTTTCAAAAAATACTGTGTTTTCTTTTTTGCTCTTATTAAGGTTTTTATGCCATCAAACAAAATATGTAATATTTATTTGTCTTGGATAATAGCATTTTATTTCAGAGTAACCAGAATTAGACAAAAGGAAGGTTGAGCTTGTTTCTTCCCATGGCTGGATGGTGCCCTGCACACAAGTGGCCTGTGGGTGGTTGGACAGGCAGCTGTCCTGGCCTTGCTGGTTACGCTGCTGCCACACCAGTCACATTCTTTTATACCCACTGTATAGACAAAATACAGGAGAAAGAACTTTCCATTTCTGCTTTTACTAGCACACCTGCCCAGGGAGCACTGCTGTGATGAGTGCTGGGCTGTGTTTGGAAGGAATACAAGCAACATTCCAGTTGTCCACATTAACTTGCCTGCCCTCATTCTGTGTCAGCAGACCCTGAGTCTTCAAATAATGTGTAGGAGTTGAATTAAGTTTTCATATGGTTTGAACAGAAAGAAATACTAAGAACATAGAAAGAGAACCAAAAGCTCAGTATAACACATGTTCAGCAATGGAATGGGCAGGTATGTGTGATGGTATCTCTGAAGAAACTGTGATATTCTCCTTTTAAAACTCCAGTAAGTATTCCTGTTCTGATACTTGTCCTCACATCCCCTGTAGAGCTTGTCTTAATGTGGTTAATTCCTCAATTTTATTTTTCAATTTCACTCTATTTTTTAACTACATTCCAAAACAAGGGATAGCTGTTGTCTTAATTGTTTGTATGAGCCATGTCACTGGAGATTCAGTGTGCAGCCACAGTACACTCACTGTCACACAGTGCTGTGTGAAACAAAGCAGGTGTCCCCTGGGGAGACTGCAGCTGTAGCAGTTCTGCAGACACCCAGAGGGCTGGCTCAGCTTGTCAGGGTCAGCTGGTTCACTGACCAGCCCTAGTCCTAGAGCAGGCCAGTGGTACCAGTAAGTATCTCCTCACTGCTTCAGGCCACCCCAGATATCAGTAAGTACCATTACACATACTGTTCTACTGTATAAAACATCACCTTCTGGTCTGTCCAACGTTATACAAATCGTGGGTAAAAGAATAAGACAAGAAGTAGGATATGTAATGTGCTAATTTTCAGCTAGTTCTCAAAGTCAGAAAGATTATGAAATTAACTACCTGCCTATTCATTGGCAAAAAGCAATCGCACTCTGAGAAGAAACTGATCCCCATCAAGATGAAATTCCAAAGGTTGCAACCAAATTCTTTAGAATTCACTCACTTATTCCACTGCCCAGTAATACTTTTTAAACATGGGCACTTAGGCGGATAAAACATGTGATGACAAAGGTATTTCTTTTTAGTCCTTCTGTGGGGAAAAGGAAAAAACCACTATAATTAAAATTAGCCAGTAAGGTTCCTCTGCTTGATGATGTTGCCTTTTACCTTCCAGCACCTTCCAGCCTGGAGACTTCTTTTTCTCCTGTAGTCTGAGAAACAACCAGCATCCAGATCAGAACCAAGACTTGAACTTGTCAGGTTTCCTACAAGAAACAGGCAAGTTTTACAGAAGCCAGACTTATCATCCAGATTTTATCAAATACATAGTATATGCACTAGTGAACAATTACATCAATACAAACCCCACTGAAAACATGTCTGCCTTCACTTCTCCTTGCTCTAGACACTTAACACAAATGATCTCCCTAACATTATTAGCTTTGTGCTGAACTACTACAAAACAGAAAGTAAAACCAAGGGTGGGGGAATTTAAAGCATTATAAACAAACAAAAAACCCCCAAAACAACAACAACAACAAAAAAACCAAAACAAAACAAAAAAAAAAAAAAACCAAAAAACAACAAACCCCCAAACCCAAAAAAAAAAAAAGGCTATATACCTGCCCCAGAATATTTGTTGTCTCCATTGGGCTCCTAGAGCATCTAAAACCAGCTATTATTGAAAAAGGTATTGCCTACCTTTCACTGAGTTTAAGAAAGCAGCAATAGTACTTCACCATTCAGTTGCCAGACATAGAACCAGTATCAGTAGCCACGATTTAGTCATTCTGACATTTGAAAACAAGCAACACTGGAAACAAGACAGAGAAGGGAAAATACTGCAGAGACATGATGTCCCAGGGTGAGGTTCTGACACTTGTATCCCCAGTCGTGTGTTCTGTTGGTGCTGGATGTTATGTTCTGTGCCTTCAGACTGGCTCTGAGCGCAAGGTTTGTTCTGGTTTGTTATCAGCCTGCTCCCCCACGGCTGGGGACAGAGAGACAGACAGTACACAGTGCAGCTTTGCTTTTGGCTTTGCTTTGTGCTGCTTTGCTTTGCCTTGCTCTTGCTCCTGCTTTGCTCCCGCTCTGCTTTTGCTTCTTGCTTCTGTTAGTTCAGCTAAGCGGCCCAGATTTTTCCCTGGACTGTTTTTCCCTTCCCTTTTTGAAGCCATTCAAACCTGCTCCGGACTGGGACCTGGAAACACCGAGAGTTTGAATCTTGTGGCTGCAGCAGCCATCCCCAGCGCCGGAGGGAGCAACAACAGAGCCACCACTCCCAGGAGAGACTTTCTGCATTTGTCATCCTTTTCAGATTGGTGACAGTGTTGCCGTCTGGTACTGTTCATTTTATGTGCTGGGGGTGTTGTGCTTGTTAAATAAACAGGTTCTTTCCACTTCTCTCCAAGGAATCCTTCCCGAACCGGTGGGGCAAAGGGGCTGTGTGGGTTTGCTTTCTGGGGGGCCCCCTTTGGAGGTTTTCTCCCAGATTTGCCCTAATCCAGGACACATGAGCAGTAGATCTTAACAGCAGAGAGATGTGATTTAAAATATGACACATGAGGAAGGATTCCATATGTCTGCATGCTAACTGCTTGTTTTAGATGTGGTCTGTGTCTGGTTGTCACCCCAAGACACTGGTGTATAATTATGCTAATAGCTGTTAGCTGGATTGGAACAGTCTGCTTGGGAGCACAGTGATTCCTGTTCCTGCCAAGTGACTTTTCAAACTTTGCAATCAGCTAATAACCTGCCTGTAGAACACAGATTATAAAGGAGAAATTTCCAGGAAACAGGAAGAGTTCCAGAATGCTGAGAGCACCACTCAGGAAAAATTAAATTACTATTGTCTTTTATCACAGTTAAAATTCTGTGTCTGTCCCTAGGCTTTCCACATCAGCCTCTGTTATGGAAAAAACCCACATTCTGAAAACACATAGAACCATTACAATATAAACTCATCTTTAATTACTATCATTAAAATAAATCTATCCCCAGCATCAGATGAACATCTTTGAAGTTTTGGCATTTATGTGATGGGGAAATGGGACTGAGGATGGCAGGAAAAGCAAGAGATTTCAACTGTACAGTCCCATGGCCACTGAAGGATTATTCTCTTGATGATTCTTCTCACCCAGACAAACCAGTCTAATAATTTCCAAAAGGCAAAAAGTCTACACAAAAACAGAAAAAAAAATCTAAATAAATGAAATCATTACATAAAATCAGGTTTACAAATCTAAGCTGGCACAGTGGCATTGGTGAGGTAGTGCCAAGGGCTGCCTGTCAAGAATAAGGTGCTTCAAAAACAAAAATATTTATATATATAAAAATATGGTTTCAATTCACAGTAGCTTCTGGTTTAAAGATATAGCAAGTGACAAAGAAAATGAAGTAAAGACGGTGGAAGAAAAAGAACAAAAGAAATGGTATATTATATTTAATATGGCAAGAAGTCAATATGAGCTTAAAATTTCTTATTTAAACTAAGTTCCCATGCCTGTCCCAAGAATTCCTAGAACAGATGTACAATGGCACTCAACCTTATTATTAATGCTTTAGGCAGCACACCAAGGCTGTACTCCATGACTGCTTTATGTAAGTAATGAAACTTCACCTCTCCAATTTGTGCAGTAACAAACAGCTCACGTAAACAAACTGAAAAATTCAGTATTTCTCTGCTGGGGCAGAGTAACATGAATATCAAAACCCCTTACTACTGGACTGGCCAAGTACTTCAGAGTAGGGTTCTGTTCTCTCTCCTGCAGGTCATTTTACCTGAAAGAATTTATTTCCCCAATCAAAATTGCCATCATCCACTTCAGGCTAAATGCTTATGGGCAGAGACATGCAGCACTATCGACTTTAATATTTGCAAAGTAAGTTGCTTTTCTAGGGAGGAAATTGCTGCATTTCAAAACTATTTCCTGCCTCACAAATACAGAATTAAATATCAGAGAGATCTAGTTTAGACTGGATGTCCTTTCATTTTTTCTGCTTTAAAGATCCAAGCCAACAGTAGTCACTCATAAGGTGGTGTGCTATAACTACCTACTGGTTTCTTAGTCTATTTTCTCTTCCATTTTTTTTTTACTTCATTTCCCCCTTCTTCAGATTCCACTTAATCACATCCTATTTTTACATTCCCTCTCTCTTTTTTTTAATCATTGAGATCCAATAATAAGACAGTTCCGAATAAATCACAAGACTAACTTTTTTTCCTTCTTCTTTCATGTTTTGCTTCCGGAATCCCTAAAAGAGCAAATTTTTGTGATGACGTGCTTTAGCACAGCATGCTCTCCAGCCCGCTGCCCAGGCACACGCACATCCCCCGGAGCGCTGTAAGGGCACGCATCTCCTGCCCGGCACCGCCACATCCCTCCCGAGACCCGGGGTACCAGGGCGGTAACACAGCATGTCACAGCCACGGACAGCTTTGAGAAAATGACAGCTTCTGTGATGAACATTCCTCCATCCACCGTATCATTCACAACATAGGTGGCAAACATTAAAAGACAATTCCTTCTCTTCTTTTTTTTTTTTTTTTAATAATTTTAAATATCGAAAATGAAAATGTTGAGGAGTTTATGCAGTAAATAATTCCAGATTAGCTGCATCTACTTTCAGTTTTTGTGTTTCTAATATGTTGTGTAAAACGTCAATGTTTGTTAAGGTCATGGATTTTTTAAAAGAGGGCATATGAATGACAATGTTTTACTTGTCTCAAGCAGATGCTACTGATTGAAGAGGGTAAGGATTTACCTCACGAAATCAAGTTCTTTGAAGCTTTAGCAACGTTTTGAAAGTCCCCGCCCCTCATACCGCTCCCTGCGTCTCTCACCGCCCCTCACGCCGCTCCCCGCCTGTCACCTGCCCTCACACCGATCCCCGCCTCTCTCACCGCCCCTCACACCGATCCCCGCCTGTCACCTGCCCTCACACCGCTCCCTACCCCTCACACCTCTCCCCACGTCTCTCCCCGCGTCTCTCAACACTCCTCACGCCGTCCCTCACGCCGCTCCCTACCCCTCACGCCGTCCCTCACACCTCTCGCCGCCCTCACACCGCTCCCCGCCTCTCTCACCGTCCCTCACACCGCTCCCTACCCCTCACACCTCTCCCCACGTCTCTCCCCGTGTCTCTCAACACTCTTCACGCCGTCCCTCACACCGCTCCCCGCTCCCTGTCTCTCTCACCTGCCCTCACGCCGCTCCCTACCCCTCACGCCGTCCCTCACACCTCTCGCCGCCCTCACACCGCTCCCCGCCTCTCTCACCGCCCTCACGCTGTCCCTCACACCGCTCCCCGCCTCTCACCTGCCCTCACGCCCCTCTACACTGCTCTCCACCCCTCGCACCTCCCTTCACAGCGCTTCCCGCCTCTCACTATCGACTTCGTACCGCCCCTCACATCGCTCCGCGCTCTCACGACCCCGCCTCGCCCCACCGCTCCGGACCGCAGAAGGCACTTGCCGCTCGGGTCGGTGCGCGGTTTCCTGCGGGGTTCCGTCGTCCTGCCCTGGCCTGCCCCGCTTGGTTCCCGGCGCTCCCGGTTCTGCCATGGCGCTGAGGAGGAATGTCCCGCCGGGCCGCCGCCCTCCCGCAGGTAGGGGCCGCGGCCGCTCCGGGCGCGGTGTGAGGGGCTCTCCCGCCGCACCGTCCCACACAGATGCAGCTCCTCCGCGGAGAGGAGCGGCCATGTGGGACCGGGAATGGTGGAGGCGGCTCTGTGGTGCGCGGCCCGCTCTCCCCAGCAGGTCCCGCAGCCGCCCCCTCACGGGTGCGCTCGGTCGGCGGGTGTGCGTCTGGCGCCGCTCGGTGATCGGGCGTTATTGGGGGACAGCGAGAGAAATGGCTGTCCGTGTTCAATATGTGTTTAATGTTACAGCCGTATCCCTCGCCTCCTGTAGTAAGGTGAAGAATTTACTTCCCCTCCACCAAGCCCCCCCCACCTCCCCCGCCTCACAGAGATCGATCTCTCTGTGAGGGAGCCTTCGTGCCTGCTGCTCCAGCCGCCGCTCTGCCTGTGTGGCTGCTCTAAGGATGTAGTATGTAGTACCGGGATTTTGAGGATGTAGTAGCGCCTGTGTTTGTTAGGGGAGCGGGTAAATGCACAGAGTGTGAGCAGCTCGTGGGCCATGCCAGGAGCTGTGCGGAGCTGTCTCAAACACGCCGGTGCGTGGGCTGTGTCCCGCCTGTTCTGGGGCACACGCAGAGATGCTGCAGGCTCAGCCTCTGGAGCTGGGGGACAGTCACTGCAAGGACAGCCACTGGAGGCTCAGCCTTTGATACCTGAGGATCTGTCACTACAAGGCTTTAAACCAGTCGGGACTTCCCCTCGGTTCATGAGGAGCAGTTAGTGCCTGAGGAGCACATACTTGAGTGTCTCCCTGCACCCCTTAGAGCGGTTTTGTTTTCTTGGAAATATTTTTTGTTTGGAGTTTGTTTTTTTTTTTTAGCATACTTTTAGATGAATTTTGGATGTAAATAATTCTTTCATCTTGTCTCTAGTCCATTCCTGGATTTTTGTGTGTGCGTGGCAGGGACAGTTGAGCTGTACCTGAAAGGGCATTTAAACAACTGCAGTTGTTTAAAGTACCTTGGAGCAGGTACTTGCATAGTATACTGCAACTTGTAGATTTGCAAGTCTCCAAGTAAGTGTTGGTGAAGCTTATGAGTGACTGCAGTGGGGACCAGCTTGGCCGAGGGGTGGAGGTAGCAGAGTAAGTGGTTTATTCTGACTAGTATTCAGCCAAGCTGTCTTTGTTTTCACTTGGGTTTGTTTTTATGTTGTTTTGTTGTTTGGGTTTTTTGTTTTGTTGTTGTTGTTGGTTGGGGTTTTTTTGAGAGGGGAGCATAAAAGGGAGTGTGCCTCCTTACTTTCTTGTTTTATTTTAAAAATACATGGTGTTTTAAAAATGGAAATTAGTAAAGATTTTGTCACTTAACTGTTAGATTACATGGCTAACAGGTCCCTTATGAAAATAAAAAATTGAACTCTGTATTAAAAGTTTTACATACCTCTCTATTGCTTTGGAAAGCAAATTGCAAAAGAGCTTTGTGGTGCATCCCAGATGCATCTATGTTTAACTCTTCCCCCACCATGGATGTGTGTAAACAGGTGGAACAGCTGTTCCTCGTGGCTAGTTTCAAGTCAGTGCAGAGGTGGAAAGGAAGACGGGTTATTTTTAATCACTAGATAACATTGTTTTGTGGGCCTATTGGTAGTAGACACAATTCCAGACTGTCCCTGTTTCAGTATCTCTTCCCATGCTGGGTATTTGTCTCCTCCTCTCCTAGCTCCCCTTCTGCTTTGTGTAAAGCCTCATAGTGTTAAAATGCCTACCTCTGTCTGGATCTCCTTGCCCTGCTAAATTAAAACTAAAACCAATGCTTGTATCTAGAAATTGCCAATCCTGCATGTGAGGGAAGGTCCCAAACCAAAAGTTGCAGGTCTAGGTTCAGTAACCTTTTTTTTTTTTTTTTTAACCTATTTCCAAAATTTTAGTGGTTTTCCTGTTTGTGGTTTGACTGGTTCCTAAAAAGACAAGAGCCTGTCAATCTTGGGAGAGCACCTAACTTGTGTTGGTGTTCTGGATGAACTTATATAAAGATAAATGATGTCGAGAAGATCTCTGAGATCATGAAAGATGCCAGGGCTTTTTGTATGGTCTGGTTTGTTGTTGATATTTGGTTTGTGGATTTTTAGTTTAGTTTGGGGTTTTTTTACATGCTTTGTCATTCTAGTTTGAAGATGCCCCAAAGACAAAACTTTCACACCTTGTGAGCTGAGGGTATTTAGAGTCTCAATTCTCTTTACTGGTAGATACTTGGAAACAAATGGTTGAAACTTCCATTTCAGATACTTTTAATTTTGCAGTTAGGCTGCCAGAAGGACTGGGTTCAGTCTAGGTCTCCAGTGTGTTTGCAGCTGTAAGATGGCTGGGCAAAGAATTTGCTGCTTATGCAGCTGTATAATTAACTGTATGTACGTCATTTTAAAAAGAGAAGAAAAGCCAAATCTAGCTATAGCATAACTCTGATCTTATAGTGCTGCTTTGGACATGAGTGAGGGAGAATTTTTGTTTCTAAAATTAAACCTGCAACCAGGAAATACAAGGTCAGGAGTCAAATTTGGTAGAAAATGGGCATTAGTTACAGAGGGATACAAATGCATTTTTCATGCTAGCTGGTTGAGTAATTCTAGAAATTCTGGAAACCTTCCCCTATTCCTCCCTCAAATTAAAACTCTAGCCTCTATTTTTCACAATCAGAATAGGAGTCTTGCTGAGAGGTGAAGCAACTTGCTCAATAGGATGAGAAAAGAACACTGAGGTTGTTCTTTCTTGCACTGTTAAAACTTAAAATGCTCTCCTGAAGAGGGAGAAAGTATTTCTTTCAAGAGAATGTTTTACATAACTTTGTTTTCTTTGTTCAGAATTCAATTTTCAGACATACCTCAGAACTTAAATTGTTGTTGTTAGGTCGCCTGTAGCTTAATTAGCACTAATTGGTTTTGTGATTGGCAGATATGTTAATAAAATATAATTAAAAATGTTGGAACACAAGTACAAGATAAGTATACATCTGGTTCTTATCTGCATTATTAAATATATTCTGGAATATCCTGAACTGATCATGAAACCCTTATTGCTTGCTGTTAGTCACACTGTTCAAAAACCTGAAAGTGTTCAGATGGTGGTTTGGTTTTCTTTTTTTGTTTTTAAAGTACAAATCAGAGATGTAACAGTTTCTGGGGAAGAATGCATACTAACGTAGTTAGGTGTTAAGGTTTAATAGAGTTAGTGGTGCCTGAAACCACTCTAATTTCTTGATTTGTGGTATTGGGAAGTTGATTTGAGTCTACTGTGACACAGAATTTTGAAGCCTTTGCTGCATCTCTTTGGCTACTCCTGTGTATGTGTCTGTACAAGTAAAGCATGGAGTTAATACTGAAAGAAGATTCCTGGTTAATGGTTATCCAGGGTGAAAGTGTTCTCTTCTTGTGTATGTAATGTGGTATGTAGTTCTGTAGGTGTTTTTACTTACATTTCACTTTCTTCTTGCAGTTAAAGCTGGACGTATGAGAGTGTCTAAAAAGCAAGAAAGTGGACCTGCTGAGAAAAGTGCTAAACTTCCAGGAAAAGAAAAGTCAAGGTATTACAATGTAGGGCCTCTTCACCCCTGCCCTGTAGTTCAAGTTCGTAGGTAATGATCTTTGAAAACAAACAAAACTCTTATTCTACAAGAGTTTTAATTCTTAAATTATCTTGTGCAATTTGTAGATAAAATAATACTGATATTGAAATAAATATTGACTTAAAAAACCCCAAAACCCAACAACTTCAAAGCCCAAGGATAGTGCTTTGCAATGAAAGGCAAAGGCTGAATCTCATCTCTATTGTCATGTTTTATGGAACAGAAATTAAAACAATGTATTACATACCTGTGTATAAAGGAATAATAATAAAGGAATGCTCACATAATTTCCAGTGAAGTAGGAATAAACTTTAGGCTGCCCCTATTCTGAAGGAAATTAAACCCACATCAGCTACCCCCAAGGAAGAGTCTTATCTCCTGTATAGGCTATACCCCCTATTTCAGTCTAAAATCTAATTTGGCTTTTCCTGTGTGGTGCTTCATAAGGTTAACCAAGCTGCTTTGCCCTAAAAATGAAGGCATACTTCTATTTTGAATAAAGTAACAGCAACCAGTTGATGTGGTCATTAAAACAAGTATTTTCTTGCAGTTTTTTCAAAGACTGAACATTTTTCCTAAATACCTACACTTCTCTTAAATGTCACTTAACAAATGGTTAGGTTAACCAGTATAGGGACATGACAGTAAAATCTGAATGACTTGTGATGTTTCTGAATTTTTTTTTGTTTTCTTCTGGGATTAGAAGCTTTTTATTTTCACTTGTTGCTAATTGTCTGGGTGTAATTTTGCAGCTGTCTTCTCCATAGTCATAGTTACCTAATGGTATAAACAGATCTTAAATAACATATTTGTCAGTGTAGCAAACTGTCAATTGCTAAATTGAACTGTCAGTAGGGAATATCTTGCCTAATCCACAGAACCATTAACTTAACTAAAACAATATCTGCTTTTTCAAGAGTTCACATTTATGGTATTTGGGGTTCATAATGATTATTCCCTACTCCATTTTAAGCTACAGATATGTCAGTGGATATAATGGTATCATCAGAAAATGTGCCATCTGAAGTTCTTCCTGCTGCTGAAGCCAATTATTTCATGTCCACAGATTTGTTTATTTGTGGAATATTGGTAACATGGTGTTATTCATTGGAATGTGGAAAAGTTAATAGGATAATCTTGTGAGAAAAAAGTTCTTGCTTGACAAATAGTTGCTGTGAAAGGAAACACTCTCCAAAAGCAGAGGGTGAATTTTTTTCATGGGTCTAGATTGGAATCAAGAAAATGTTTTGTAGATCAGGATATAACTGCTCAGCTTCTGAGAAGTTATTTCATGGTGTACAAAAAAAATTCCTTTTTGAGATATTCAAGGGTATTTCATATACAGTTTCTTGTATATCTGAATAAAACAGCCTGTCATAGATTCTCTGTTGTTCCATTCTGAAACAGCATGCCTTTTTTGATATTACATAGTTTTTAACATGATGAAAAGATTTAGCTCCAAATCCTAAATTTATATTGCAAAATGTTTTGTATTAAGTCTGGAAAATGAAAGTGACAGATGCTCATATGTTTCTGTGAGATGGAAATGCTAAATACTTTTTTCTTCTGCTTTACAGTGCTGTTGTCAGTTTTGCAAAACCTCAGAACATGGGTGTCTTGGTAGCAGAAGCACTGAACAAAGTAAGTGTGAAAGAAAAAGTCAGGGTTTCTTTATAAATCTAAACATGAAAAAATGTTAAAAAGTGAAATTTCCTTAAACTGGTGTCTGGCAGTTGCGGGTGTTTCATCTGCTACTAAACGCTCTTGGAATAACCTATTTCTGTAGTGGTTGTGTGGCTGAGCTGCTAGATGGCTAAAAAGTACCTGGCCTTCTCTCCTTACTCTGATTCCACTCCTAGTTACTGCAACATGCCCTGGGTAGTTGTGCACACCTATTAAGTTGTTTGTCCTAGAGCCAGTTCTCATAAGCCCTAGAAAAACACTTAATACACCCAAGGATAGCTCAGCTACACTTTGGGGGCATAAAATAAGCAGGATGGCTTCTGCTGTGGTGTTAGAAACAAAAAGGTTTAATAAAGGCAAAATAACAAACAGAAAAACTCGAGCCAGGTACAGAGGTCTGCCCCTGGTAGAAACACTTCACACAAAAGCCCCTCTTCTCCTTTGTTCTGTTCTTTTCTACTTGATTGATCAGGCGGGACTTTTTGGCTTCTATCCAATTAGGTGTTCTCTGGTGTTTGGTGAAGTCCCTGAGGCCCTAGGAGGTGGCTTTCCACCTAACAGTTGAGAGAAGCTTCTGGGCTTCTTTCCTTTTTTGGGGGACAAAGGTTAGTTTTTGCCACTCTGTCATTAGGGGGCGCATTCCTACACACAGCTGTGCAGAGAAGCGCAGCCAGGCACGAGGTGTGTCCTGCTTGTAGAGTGGCGAGGTGCATTAGCTTTAGTGAAGTATGGGGAAGAATCACCAGTGGCATCTAAGTGTCTGGCCAAGCTGGGATTACAGAGCAGAGCAAAACCTTGTGTTCAGTGCTTTATCCCACTGTGGAAATCACTCTGACTTCTATAAGGGTCCAGCAAAAATACAGAGCTGCACCCTGGCAGGTGCAGGGGCCACCAGGGTGGTGATCCAGTGTCCTGCTCTGTGAATGATCCCCGACACAGCAGGCACAGTATGTCCTACTGCTGCCCCATATCTTCTTGTTTCATCTGAGGCCTCACGTCACTCAGTCGAGCACTTTTTGACTTCTCCCTTAGGAATACTATGGGTTCCTGTAAAATCTTGTATCCCACAGCTGCTAATGGACCCTTCTGTTTATCACATGCTTACAGCTCCTGTCCTGTGTCTTATTAGGGTGTTGGTGCAGACTTACACCTGCCCTTTCGAAGAGCTGATTTTGCAAGCAGCTCTTTGGTTTGCATGGTAACCTGAAGATCTGACAGTGGTCATCTCTTTGTTACACACTTGCAGTCTTCAGACTCCGAAGCATACAAGAGTTCCTCATCCCTAGAGCTCAGTGAAACTTCAGTTGCATAATTTCAACACAAGCCTTGTATCAACACTTGTGTTTATAGATTTAGCCTGTAAATCATGAATTTTTGTTTAGAGTTTTTAATGGAGAACAGATACAACTCATCCTCTTTCTCTTCCACCTGTCCTCATCTCCTCTGTTCTGACCCATTGTTTCTAGAATCTTGTATATGAAGCTTCCTTGCTACTTTAGAATATGATAGTTAGCTACTGTAATAATGATGATTTTGAACATGAGAAAATAAGAATTTGATCCAACTTACTGTTAACTCTGGCATACTGATTATTTGCTGTGTTTTCCTTATCTTGGAAGCTCATTCTATGAGCTGCTAAACAAGGGAAGAAAAAAAAAGCAAAAATTCCGTAAAGGTAGTCAGACTAATATCGCTTTGAAAACAGAAATTGTAACTAAATATACCAAGTTACCATGAGTTCTGTCTATTGATCACTTGAACTTTTTGTGGGTTTAGGTTTTACTGCTCCTTTTAAACTACTTTAATAGAACAAAATTTAGAAACAGAATAGCTGAAAATCTATATTCTATCACAACTTTTTTCTCCCCCCTTTAATGTTACAGATGAGCCACAAAATCCATGCAGCAACATTACAAGTGGCTCACCAAAAGCCACAACCTACCTTGGAGAAGTTCATACTGCCTAAAAGAATTTACATTATTCAACAGCCACGGAAATGTTAAGATAATCATGAAAATATTTATATTTACTTAAAAGTGAGTTTCTATTCTATATAGCAGTTAGCACACTGGTGAAGTGCTCAAAAGCTGTGTGCCTTGTATCTTGCTGTGTTTGTGTTACTGACAATAAAATATAAGAAGAGTTGCTAAATGTACTCAGGATTTATTACAATATCATGGCTTCTGTCTAACCTGGTGTTACTGATATGTAGTAATTACTCAATGCCAAAAAGTCTTAAGTTTCACTTACTGTGTGAGTTTTGAGTGAAGGAATGGGAACTGTCAGCCCTATCGTTTTGGGGTTTTTTTAGTTTAATGGTAGCAAAGCTGATGTGAACTTGACTCTAAGAAAGCATGACTGAAAGACATGGGGCTTCTTTCAATTGAGCCTGAGCTTTCCCATGCTGAATGCAGGCCTGAGGCTTACTGCACGATACGTAATTCGCAAAGTCCTCTGAAGGATTTCTCTGCAATGAAAGAAGTATTTTTTGCGTGCATTTCTTTCTGTAAGAAAACCCAGCTCCTCTGCAGAGATCCAGCAAGCAGGAAGAACTGAGTGGAAACAGTCTGTTTGAACCTATTTGGGGCTGGGGTGGATAAATGAAGGAAGTACCTGACTTGGAGCTGAACCCTTGGCGTAGGAGGGCAGGTAGCAGGGAGGAGCCAAGGTGCAGAGAATGCTGTGCCTGGAGTTTGGACTTGGTAGAATGGGGTATGAGACTTAGCACTGCCTGGCAGTAGTATGAAGGGTCAAGCTTAAAAATGGTGAGGAACAAGTGTAAATCCCAATCCAGGCCATGTCCTTGAGCCATGACCTGCTTGCAGTGACAGCAGGGACAATAGAGGGAGCCAGGGGATAACACTGTCCTGCTGCTGGGAGTTGGTTATGGAGCTCCACGGACTCAGAATTTAATAGACTTTTTTTAATTTTTTTTTTTTTTTAAATAGTGATTGCAGAAGAGTATTATCCCAAAACTGATTCTTTCACCCTTTTGGTGTGCAAGAAATTGATCCCCACACAGAGTGGAGGTTTTTGATTTGTTTACAGTTGTGTGCAGAAAGGGGTCCTGGGTGGTGAATTGTCAGAGCAAGCATGGAGACAGACGAAGGCAGGCACACCTATAGATTACGGTCTCAGGCCAGGCAGATCTTACTTCACTCCATGGTTAAGCTGCTCTTAGCTTCTCTCTGTTTCAGTCTCAAGGTATAGTGCCCAAGAAGTCATGGAATGTGCTGAGTGAGGAGTGGGCTCTTGGTAGGCAGAGGGGGCTGAACTAGGGATGTGGCTTTTACTATTATAATTATAATCTAATGAGGAAATTTCATGGCAAGGGCAAGTTCTCACCACAGAAGCAGTCAGTCAGGGGGTTTGTTGGCCCGTCACATAAGGCCCTGAATAAGAAGGGTGTGATCTTTTTATTCCCTCCCCTTCAAGGACCTAGGACATCAGTTTTCTGTTTTCACCATTCCTGTGGCTGTTGCTCCCATTGCTTAACTGCTTTGTTCTCTGTCTTATTATTGGGAACTTTGTTCCTGTTATTCATCAGCTCCCCACTTCCATACTTATGATACTTCTTATACGTATTATAAGTCTCACTTTAGAACTGCCACATATTTTCCTGAAAGGAATCACGGGGTGACAGGTAAATCAATTGCTTCATGATTTCCCAAATGCAAATACATAGTGCTACAATTAAGACAAAGCATAATAGGGTGAGTGTTAGGAAAACAACAAGGTAAAACATCTCGTTTAAACTCCCTGTAGTGATGGTTAGTGACCATCTGAAGAAAGTGTCCTCCCACCCCTGTGCTCTGTCTCATTTCACTTGTTCCAACCCTTGTGTGCTTTCCACATCACGATGGACAGTAATCAAAGTATTTTACCCATTCTTCTGAGCTTGTTTCAGCAGTTATTGCAGATCATCCTGCTGTAATAATTTTCGTACTCAAATGAGATTTATCCCAACAGGGATGGGCAGCAGATCTTGAATCAGCATATAATTATACTGCAATAGCTGATATAATGTGACAGGAGCTGAATAATTGAAATCCCACCCATTGATTTTGGTGAAATTGAGAACACAAACATTAGAGTAATGATCTGTATCTACAACAAGGTTATCTACAAATATGAAGCCACAAATTGTTCTCATATAAGCACATCATTTTCCAGTATATAAAATTACAGGTTCATGAGCTTCATCAGGATGGCTTTCAAAATGACAAACACTATTCTGGATCCAGACAAATGTCAGGGCTCTGGTGTTAGTGCACAAGTGAGTCCCTGTTCCCATATAGTGCATGTGCTAACACTAATGGTTTGCCATTCCCCATGGGCACATGTCCTGTGCTCCGGGGCAGGGTTTGGTTATGATTCAGGCCTAGAGCAGTGGCTGAGTGATGGACACCGAGGCTCCTATATGGATTAGTGCCAGGACTGTGCTGTTGATGGTATTATAACTGACTAAATGCCACCAAGGCTGGAATTCCTTTGCAAATTCAGTCATTTTTCCAAATTACTTTTTGAAGTTCAGTGGGTGAAGATGCCCACTTCAGACATAGCTAAGAGAAAAAGAACCTTCATCTTGGTTTGTGCCACGTTTCTTCACCTTCTCTTAAAATTGCTACTGCTGCTGTTGATTGTATCCACAGCTGAGCTCAGACATAGCTAAGAGAAAAAGAACCTTCATCTTGGTTTGTGCCACGTGCCTCTGGGATCAGCTATGAGCTCGCTCATTGATTCTTTCCCACTGAGGCAATGTGTCAGGTAAGAGCCATTGATTAGTTTCTAATGCTGGTAGAGAAGACCACAGAGGGTGTTGCAATTTGCTTAAATCACTTGTGGTTGTGGCTCAGGTTATTTATAAGTACTTCAGCATCTGTACAATTCAAAACTCCCAAGTCCCTGTGGTTCCAGTCAAAATTCTTCTTATTCCTTGTGGGGTTTTGCCAATGTAGCCAAGCTAATTGTCTTGCATGGGAAGCACTTAAGGATGGTGACCACATTGGTTTAAGTGTAGAAATATCTGCATTACTAGTTCTATTTGTTTAAGAAACCAAGATGGGTTAAACAACATTTGTTGCTGATCTGCATTTTTGATCACATAGTCTAATTTCTAAAATTTGTGGGGATTGAATTTTCTCATCCTTTTTGACTGGGGCAGATGTAATTGTTTTGGTTTTAGTAATATCTACCTTGAGTTTAAATGTTAGTCCCACATTATGGTGGTCCCAAGGTCATAACAAAAACAGGTTTAACTAGGATAACATTATACCAAGAATCCCACCTTTTGGTGGCACAAAATTTTGAGTTTTTTGCCCTTGATTCTTTTGTACTATGAAACATTGAAATCTGAGTGGCTTTCCCACGTGTAGATCCATTGATCATTTTGCACCATATCTGAATTTTTTCTTTCCAAGAGAGGAACCCAACTATATCTATCCTAATCCTACCCATGTTCTAAATATGCTTCAGCTCCATGCATAACCAGACTAGTGAAATTGTACACTAAAATTGTATACTTAAATTCATGCTTAATGTGCAAGGTGGTACTCAAAAAATGGTTATACTGTCAATGAGGATTCTTTTAAAGTGCACTTTTCACATGACTGCAGTGGAAAGCTATTGCAAATAGATGAGACACTCCTTCTAAATTCAAGGGATCCTGGGAAGGTTACCCAGAGTTAGTGTTGCCATTTAACACTAATATCTGCATCTTTTCATCCTTCCATCAAATGTAAATACCCTTGTGTTGATTAAAGATTAAATTATGATCACAGGAGGTGGTGATTAGTAGCATATGCAATAAATAATTTGCTTACACCTTGAATAAATAAAAAAAATTAAAATACTTCTTCTCCTTTGAAGACAACTGTTACTTATCTCTGATTCCATAACTGACTGATAGCCCTTGTGAAATACTATCAGTGTTATCCTGGACAACAGCAGCAATATACTTTATTGGTGTTGAAGTTGTAGCTATGGGATTTGGAAACCAGTCTGCTTTTGTATTGTTTACAGCACACTTCTGTTCCCCAGGCTGGCTCTATGGCAGTGAATGTTGTTATGAATGTCAGTGAACAAACAGGACTGGAGTCGAAGCTGTCCATGTGTGAAATGACTATCCATGCTCTCAAAGCCAAAATTAGCACAGCGCACTCTAATGTCTCGGTGGGCAATACACGCTCCCTATACAAAGAATATTTGTAAAATCTTTAGAATTCTAATCTTTGTTTCTTGTTTCTGAAGGAAATCCTTAACTAGGGAAAAGTTGTAGGATCTGATTCTTCAGGCCTTTATGAACATCACTTTGTATGAAGCTGAACATTACTTAACTGTTTAAAGCAGTACATTCGGGGAGGAGGGATGTGCTTGGTGTAGAAGGGAGCTGTAGTAAATCCCTTTTGTGGCATAAATCAGGCAGTCATACAGGGATTGCTAAGGATGGAACCGTTCTGTTAAAAAGCCCTAGGCGCTACTCTGTGCTGTGCACACTTGGCAAGCGCAGTCCCACAGAGATGAACTAAGTACATTCAGTAACTCGAGTTTCTGGCAAGACCATGTCTGTGGGCAGACAGGAGTTGTGCAGCCCAAGTGTCTGAGCTGCATCAGTCTGCCCAGCCCAACAAACCCAGGTGTGCCCTGCAGCTGTACCGGGCTCCCGTGTATGCAGAACGCTGCTGCAGGGTGCTCTGCAGCGCCCAGTGGCCTGCCAGAGAGCAGGCTGCAATGGAAAGCATCTTGCAGGTGCTACCTGGGTGAAACTTTCACATGTAAAAACAGGTCCAGACAAGAACCTAGGCGGTCTAGTTTGATAAACTTTGTTTCATGGCCTTGCTAAATGTAGAGCAGGTGCAATCTCCTCTCCTGCTGTAAGATGAATCTTGCAGAGCAGGAAATCCTGGCAAGTGTTCTGTTCCATGTCCTGCTTGGTCAGGTGGTGTCCAGTTTGTATTTGCACCATCATTGATGATACTGTGATGAGGGTGCTGTGCCTTCTGTTGCAGGGAGTTTGTTTTATTTAGTTCAAGCCATAATAATTAGCTTTCATTATTTAAATATCAAT